AAAAATTTAGGTATGGCAAGTGACTGGTATATTGGGAGTGGGGTGGATTGCTTTATTATAGAAATAGAAACCTGAGGGGGTTGTAACAGAAGGACTTTTAGTTATACTTGAATAGTTCTTCTTAGAGTTGAAAACTCAGAGAGTGAATATTGAAAGCTCAACAGCCAGGTCTGGAATCAGTTACTGAAATAAATGAGATCTGCTTTTCTGGGGCAAGAAAAAGCTGTCTGGTAGTTTTGGGTCATTCATTAATTAGGCCAGTAGATACTGGGGTGGCCTGGGACCTAGGCAGTCTGACTATAGAAAAATGACCTCTAGAGAACCTGAAGGTGTCTGTGTGAAAAGATAAGCGTAGATGTCACCTGATGATAAATGAGTATCAATAGGACAAACAGATTTAAGCAATCATGAAGCTTATTTCCCTGAAGAGATATATGTTTTGATAATGAAAAGCTTGTTTGTTGGGAAATGCCTGTTTGGCAGTTATTCCACTGGTGACATTTTACCTTAACATCTTTTAAGACATCACTTTTTGGCCTTATTTTTATCCTAGGCAAAATTGCGGTGGTACTGTGGTTTTTGGAATATTGGTGTGAATGTAGAAAATTAGCACATTTTGCTCTTATTATTACAAAGGGTTCACATAGTTCCCATTTGTAAAGATCTTATCAATTATTTGTAGTTATTTTATTTTTTTTTATTTTTTTATTTTTTTTTTTTTTCTTTAACATTTATTTATTTATTTATACAAGCACTGGGTACAGTCAGAAGCACAGGAGGGTGAGAGAATTCACCAGAGCCAGAGCGGGGAACAGAGCAGGCAGAAGGACCGAAGTACACTGCTGAGGGGAGCAGCGGGCGGCAGGAGAGGTCTGCGCGCCATGTGGGACCCTCCCTGGTGGCCAGGGAGCAGCCGGGGATCGAACCGGCGCTGCAGAGGCTGCTGGCAGCTTCGCAACCCTGCGCTCAACCACTGTGCTACCGGGGAGGCCCTATTTGTAGTTATTTTATAAGTACATAAGGAGTTCATTTATAATTGGCTTTCCTTTTCTCATATTGTTGGGGGAACCCATTGAGAGAAGGTGACTATTTGTTGACTTAAGAGCTGGACCAGAACAATTGGAGGCTCTTCATTCCCCTACCTTTGGAATGTGTGGCCTAGTCTCCCAGAAACTGCCCTAAGGGTACAGTCTTGATAGAGAATGTGGATATGAGGCTGTCTGAACCAGGTATGTGACTGGCCTCAGGTATGTGACTGGCCTCAGTTTTGGTGGGCAAATGTGGAAAACTATTCATCTTCCTGCTGCCCAGTATAGGCCTTAATAAGTTCCCTTGCTCATTAAAATTGTTACCTACCAACCTGGGATGGCTTGCCACTTTCCTTGTTCTCTCCTTGCTTTCTGCTTTTGGGCCTGGTTTCAGGTTATACCTGGGGAGCTCCCAAGGTTGCAACCCAATACTTGCTGGGAAGCAAGAGCTCAGCGAGAACTCCAGTTTTCTTTTGTGCCAGAAGTGAGGGGTTTTGTTGTTGAGAAGGGGTGAAAGTAGAGATTGGAGACAGGAGATCATTTACTTTGTCCTTTGGGAGAAACCAAGGCAGGGGACAAAAGCAGTGGCATTGTAGAGAATTGATATGTTCTAAATTAAAACTTTAAAATTTGGTTGCTCATTGTCAAGTGGGATACAGGGACAGGGAGGAATCCAAGTTGACATTCTGGAATCTTCCTTTATTTCTGCTATGACTATGTAACAGCTATAGAAAAAAAACAACTTTTAGTCCTATGTTACCTTATCATGTTCTGGGCATAAATAAACAATGTCTGCACCTAGGAGATTAGAATTAGAATTTGAATGGTGCTTTATACTTCCTTGGGGAGTGTTGTGAACCATTGTATTTCTTTCCAGAAATGAAGTTACTGCTGCATATGGAAATAGGACTTGAAGACTAACTGCTTTAGAAGAGTGATAAATGTTGTTTGTCCTGAATGCTCAAGACTTTTAATCATAGCCTCTGATTTCTTTCCATATAAATTTTGTGTCTAAATGATTGAATCTGGAGCTACAGTCCTATTTTATAATAGGTAATTTCTCTAGTGATGGGACATGGATGGTGTTCCATGGTCATTCTTTAAAAGTGTATTTATTTCATATGGGTCAGAAATTTTTATTTAAAGCCTCAAGAAGGTGTCTATGGGACTCTGAGCATAGCACTCAGAGGCCACTGTCATCATCGGCTGCATCAGATTTTGGATTTATGTGGCCTTTGGGGTAAGCAAATAAACTGGTGATGCTTTGTGGTGACAGGCTTTTGAGGGCAAATACAGCTTGCCTCTTATCAATTCTTGCATGATTAGTAGGGAATTATAGTAACTTGCTGTGGAATTAATTCAGAGCCATGTAAATGCTCTCAAGGTCAAGGTTAGTTCATTTTGCTCCACCACATGACTTTCCTTTCAAACTCACATCTTTGCTTTTAAATCTGAAAGTCTTAAAATAAAAAAAGGCAAAGTATTCTTTTATTTTTAACAAAATAATAACTGAAATCTTTTAACTTTTTAAATAAAGTGCCCAGCATTAAGCTGATTGTTTTTATACTAGATAAGAATAAGTGATTGATGTTTGTTTAAAATTTTTTTGCGTTCCATCTGGAAATGTGTAGCTGAAAACTATTAACAGAAGCAAAACTGTTTATTAACTTAGCATTTTGATTTTATTTAATAGTGTGGAGTGTTGACTTTTAGGACAGATAGAACTTAATGTGGGTTTGCATTTCTCATTTGGTATTTTTGACTCTTGAATGTCATTTTTCACTGACTTTCTATTTCAGAGCAAGTCCCTAAGGTGACAAAATAGGAAGAGAAGTTAATTCCGAATTTAACTGGTTTATCTTTTTCTGATTTTTTAAAAAAAGATTGATTTTTATTTATTTATGTATACAAGAGCGGGGGTGGGGGAGGGCAGCGGTGCATGGAGGTGAGAGGATTCACCAGAGACAGAATAGGGAGCAGAACAGGTGGATTGACTGAAATACACTGCTGAGGGGAGCAGCGGGCGAGACAGGAGAGGTCTGCTGCACCATGTGGGTCAGTTCCCTGGCCAGGGATCAAACTTGTGCTGTAGTAGCTGGTGATAGCTTCATAGTGCTGAGATTTAATCCTTTGCGCCACCGTGGAGGCCCCTCTTTCTCTGATTTGTAAATTTTAATTTTTAATCTTGTTTTACACTGTGTAGACAGTTTGTATGGAGAACTTGAACATTCACAAAAGTAGGCAGATTGATATAGCAAATTCCATGTTGCCCAGCTTCTTACCAATTCTTTTTATTTATTTATTTATTTAATATATTTTTTACATCATTTTTCATTTTTGCACAATGTATGCATTTTCATCTTGGTTATATTCCCCATAGAATTCCCATCCCCCCTTATTTTGACCCTAATCCCTCTTCCTCCCCCCCTCCCCCCCTCGTAGTGTGTCTCTGGTTTATAGTTGCTTGTTGATTTTGAATTTTGCTTTATTATAATTAGTCATTTTCCTGTTCCCTTATTTAGGTCTCCTAAATCTTACTAATTTTTATCAATTCAACTGGACCACATCTTTCCTCTCTTAGTTTACACAGACCTCAAATGTGAAGTCGTCTGTGAAGTGTTTTCATTTTTAGATGGAAAAGGTATTACCATGAATCTACTCACTTCTTCGTTGTGGACTGGACATTTATAATGGACAGGCACTGAGAGCATCTGGGATTTGGTTTGAAACCTTTGACCTTTTGAATGTTTGCAGCTCTTAGTATAATTTCCTCTAAAGTATAACACAGACTGTGCATTGTCTTCACATTATTAATTAGGACTGTGATGTTTCCCCTCCAAAATTGAGATAACTTTAAAATATATATATACATATATATATATATAAGATTTATTAGAAGAGCAAGAAGTCATGGTAAAGGGTAAATGAGGGTCATCTTGTAAAGTAAAGAATACAAGACAAGCATGATGCATGACTTACACAGTGATTGAAGGTGGGCTGCTGAATTTTCTAGTGACCAAAATCAGAAGGAAACACAACCAGTTTGAAATTATCTTTAAGATTTCTGTCACTGCAGAAGTTTTCCCTGTGGAATCTACTGAAAGGAGCCTTTGGAGCAGTTGGTGGAGGTGGAGGAATAACTTGGTCTCTGAGCAAATGGCTGGCTGGGACGCAGGGCACTCTTTAGACTTGTTTTGGGGTTTATGGATGTAATGATCAGCAGTACCTATAATGTATTGAACTCCTATTAGGTATTAGGCATTAGGCCTGGTGATTTTATTTCATTTAACCTTCAACACATTCCTACTCCATAGATGTAATTACTTTTCCTCCTTTTTAGGTGAGAAAATTGAAATTCAGAGAAATAATTTCATAAAGTTAGGCAATGGTCTGTATTTAAGATCGCTAAAAATCTTCATTGTCTAGATAAATGGATTGTTGACTCATGTTTTGTTGGATTTTATGTTTGAGTATGTAGTTACTTTTTTTTTTTAACAAAAGATTTATTTACTTATGCACACAAGAACTGGGGTACAGGCCAGAGGTACAGGGGTGAGAGAATTCACCAGAGACTGAGTGGGGAACAGAACAGGCAAATCTACTGAAACACACTGCTGAGGGGAGCAGTGGGTGAGACAGGAGAGGTCTGCTGCGCCATGTGGGCTGCTCCCTCGCCCGTGGGGATCAAACTCATGCTGCAGAGTCTGCGGATTGCTTCATAGTGCTGTGTGTAACCCCTTGCGCCACCGGGGACACCTGTAGTTACTTTTTTTGGGGAGAAATAAAAGCCTTCCCTTGCCATGTCTTTAGATCATTGCCTAACTGCAAGTGTTAGCACTTTGGAGACAACAGTGTTGTGGGCCATGTTTCATTGTGAATCTTTTTATCCATGCTATGTGTTTATGATGGTTGTGCTGTTAGAGTCATTGCACAATGCCAATTCTGGATTTCATTCTTTTTATTTTAATATAGAGAGAAACAGAGCAACAGGAAGAGAAAACTAGTTTGTTAAAGAATTCAGTGAAGAAAGAAGCTAGTGAAAGAAGAGCTATGATAACTCCTGCTCTCCGCGAGGCCCTCACTAAACAAGGTGAAAATCCTTAAGAATTGTTACAATGCTGCATTCTTGAGCATTCTAACTTAATACTTGAAAGAGGGAACATTTAAAAAGGATTGCCAAGAAGATGGGTATAATGAAGTTCCTCTTTAGTTAGCTGTGCTGCTGTGTTACTGTGGCAGCTAAGGTGTCTTTTTCCTATGGCTCCTCTTGTTGGCTGCAGATCTCCTCCTGATTGGTTTATTGAGATGGTCCCATCAGTGTGGCTCAGGTATTCAGGTAGAAGGTGCCATCGCTGGCTTCTACAAATCACTGTTTATTTAGGGGAAATTTTTATGAAATGCAGAAGAAAGCTTACATAATGTTAGTTTGGGTTAGTTAGAACTGTCACATGTAGAAGTAGATACAGATTTTGTGGCCGTACTTTACCAAGGAGGCTGTTATGTGCATAATCATACTAACATGAATGAATGAGTAATAATGGGTTTCCTGCAGAAAAAAGAGTTATGAATTGGGAGTTAGTAGGCTGACTTCTTCTTTCCATATTTATTGAGGACCTTTTAAAATTAGAGTTCTGGCAATGCAGATTAACATAGGCTATAGTATTGCCTTTAGGGAACCTTCAGCATGCTAGAAGAGACAGGTAAAGTATATAGATTTCACATATAAATGTGTAAATTTTCAAATAAATTTATTTTCACATACACAAAATACATGTAAAAGAGTCTTTTAATTAGGGTATTTAGAATAAAGTGATTTTTAGGATAGATTAAAATCTTTCATCTTGCTATTTTCTATTTGTCTCAATTTGGTTTTTGATTTCCTGTTTCCTGTGTTTTTGCCTTTTAGGTTAATTTTAAATGATTCTGTTTTATAGCCATTGTTACCTTGTTAACTATAGCACTATTATTTTATATAGTTGTTGCTTGAGGTTTTATGCTATACCTGTATCATGTCATAGTGTATCTTTGAATGGTATAATACTGCTTCATGTTTTCTATTAAAGATTTAAGTAATTAAAAGCAATCTTTTATATTGACTCATGTTGTTACCACTTTCAGTACTTTTTATTCCTTTCGTAGATCTCTCATAATCTTTTCTTTCTGCTGGGAGGATTTCTTTTAATATTTCTTATAGTGTGGGTTTGTTGGTGATGAATTATTTTAACTTTTATATACTGAGAAAAGCTTTCTTTTGCCTTTACTTTTGAAGGCTTTTTTTGGTAGGTATAGAAATGTAGATTGACCAGTTTACCTTTCAATGCTTTAAAGGCGTTGTTCCACTGTACCGTTGCTCATATTGCTTCTGATGAGACCTTTGTAGTCATTTTTTGCTAGTTCTTTGAGTGTAATGTTTTTCGTCACCAACTGTGTTTTAAGATTTTTTCCTTTATTACTGATTTTGAGCAACTTAATTTGGTGTTTCAATGTGGTTTTCTTCATGTTTCTTTTCCTTGGGATTCACTGAGCTTCTTGATCTGTACATTTTGTGTTTTTATCATATTTGGACAAATTTTGGCCATGATTTCTTCAAATAGTTTTCTGTCACCCCTTTCTACTCTATCTTTGAACTGCAAGTCCGTTTTCAATATTCCATTTAACATTGACCCACAGCTGGCTGGTATTCTTTTTTTAAAAAAATTCTTTTTCTGTCTTCATTTTTGGATAATTTCTATTGTCTGCAAGTTTAATTAGTAATCTTTTCCTTTTTAGTGTTTAATGTTTCATCAATTTTATCCAATGTATGTTTCAGGTTTGACATTGTAGTCTTTATCTCTAGAAGTTCAGTTTGGATATTTTTATATTTTTCACATCTCAACTTTTTGAGCCAATGGAATGTTATTTCAGCTGTGTTAATGCCCCTTTTGCTAACATTTATATCATTGCTAGGTCAGTTTTAGTTGCTGAATTAGTTTCCTCATTTCTGGTTGTGTTTTCTTATCTGTTTGCATGCTTAGGAGTCTTTGATTGTATGCCAGACCCAATTTTACCTTATTGGGGACTAAATGTTTTTGTATTCTTATAAACATTCTTGAACTTTGTTCTGGGATGAAACAGTTAGAATCTTTGAATCTTGCTTTTATGACTTGTTAGGTGAGACCAGAATTGGCTCAGTGTATGGGTAATTATTCCCCACTATAGAGGCGAAACATTGCTGTGGACTCTGCCCAATGCCTTGTGAATCTTGAGGTTTCCTGTCTGACTGCTAGGAACAGGTATAATTTTCGGCCTGCTGTGAGCACCAGACATGCCTCTCATCTTTTCAGATGGTTTTTTCCCATTCTTGGGTAGTTTTCTTTCAGATACACACTAAACAGCTCTCAGGCAGCTGCATGATGGGATGACTGCAAATTCTTGAGTTCAGTCTCTGTGTGGTTGTTCTCTTTGATGCACTCAGTCTGCAAACTGTAGACACATAGACTCCCCTGACCCTTGCTTCCTTGTTCGACACTCAGGGAGAATACTGACTTTGTTTGGGTTGCCTCTCCCTTGCTGCACATCCTGGAAACTTAAAGGCAGGTAGCTGGACAAATGGTAGGGTCCACCTTACATGTTTCCCCATGTCTGGTATCACCTTCATTCGTTGCATGATGTTTTGTGTTTGGAAAACTGTTGCTACAGACCTCTCCATCCTGTTACTGTGCAGTTTTTTCATACCTACCTAAATACCTAAATTTTTTAGAAACCTGTGTATCTTGAGAGAGAACTTTATGAAGAACAAATATAATGGAGTGTGCTTTCCATCACAGTGGTATGAAGGGCAAGTAACGTGGGAATCCAAAAGAAGAACTAGAGTTTTCTCTAGGAATCTTTTAAATGCTTACTTTGTACCTGAGGTTAGCTATTCAGTTGGGCTCAGTTCCATCTTTAAGTAGATGAGCAGAGCTTTGTTTATGTCTATGGAAAGTGTTACATAAATATGGAAGAGGATAAAAGACAAAGCCCCGTAAGGTTGTCATCAGAGCCTTGTAATCCAAATTGACATTATTCCACTAATCATTCCATTGTGAATATGGATGCTTAACCAGCGACTGATCTACTTATGCCATCATCTAGTCAGTGTTTCTTTATTTGCCTCATTTGACTATAAGTCAAGAGTCTTTTTTGTGTTAGAGACTTAGGATATTTGTGGCTTATTACTTGAAACCTCATGAGAAACTTTATTAAATACTTTCTGAAATCAGGATGTCCTTCTTGTGATTACCTTGGCCTGATTTTTCCATGCTTTGCTTGTCTTATGTGGCTCAAAAATTTTAAATGATAGGTTATGGAGTGGTGCTGAGAATTTTTGTTAGGAATTCTGTAGCTCCTGGAATTTGACTTTTCTACTTTTTTGGGCACTATTTCTTTATTTCAATTTCCTCTTGTACATCTGGTTTTTCATCTTTTTTCAAAGATCACTGATGGTAATTCCCCAGCCATTAGTTTGAACTCTTATTATTTGCTTTTGCTTTATGACCCAGCAAGTGATTCATTTTATAAGTGTTCTATGGGTTCTTGAAAGGCACTTGCATTCTATAGTTATTGAGTGTAGTGCTCTAGGTATATTTTTTGCTCTAGGTAAATTCTTGATAACGTTTATTTTGTTGGTCAGATCTTAGAGCTCTACTGAATTTTGGTCCAGGAGGTCTGTTAGATACTGAGAAAGGTTAAACTCTCTGCCTACTGTTACTCTGTTGTTTCTTTATGTATTTGAGTCTGTGTTTATAGATGCATGTACCTTTGAAATTTTTGGTTTTTCCTGGAGAAGTAAACTTGTAATGTTTTCTGCCACTGAGTTGTTGCCTACTATTATTTAATAAGCAAAGAAAAATGACTGTTGTAATTTTATAATTACCTTTTGATATGAGGCTTTGAGTCAACTAAATTTTGATTCCCTGTTTTTCCTTGCAGGTTATCAGTTGATTGGGAGCCATTCAGGGGTGAAGCTTTGCAGGTGGACAAAGGTATTTATTTCTATTCAAATGTTATTTCTGTTTTATACATTTTTGTGTGGCTTTTATTTGCAATCAATAAATTTTACCATTTAAGGATATAATTTACATCTAATAAAATGTAGTGATATTGATTGAATTTGTTCGATGAACATGTCAGCAAATTTTCATGGATGTAAAAAACCTTTGTCCATCACTCAAATTAAATATAAATTATTTTCCTCAGCCCTGTAAGTTGACTTGTGCTCATTTCTAATAAGGATCCTCCTCCCCCTCAGCCAAACAACAGTTATTCTAGTGGCTATCACTGTAGTTATAGTTTGCCTGTTCTAGAATTTCTTATGAATGGAATCATATAATATGGTCCTTTGTAAGTGCTTTCTTAAACTCAACATGTTTCTAACATTCATTCATTTTGTACTTTTTATTCCTTTTTTTTTGTTGAGTAATATTCAATAATATGTACGTACTGGAGTTTTTAACCTATTGCTAGACATTAAAATTTTTGTCTATTATGAATAGAACTGCTATGAGCATTCTTGTATAAAGCTATTTTGGTGAACATATGTTTCAATTTCCTTTGGGTATATAACCTAGGAATGGAATTGCTATGTACAGAGTAGTATATATTTAACTTTATAAGAAATTCCTAATCTGTTTTCAGTGTGTTTGTACTATTTTATACTTGGTATCGGCAATTTGTAAAAGTTTTGGTTGCTGTATTTTCTCATCATCTTGTGGTATTTGCAAGTCTTTTTAAATTTTAGTTACTCAGGTGAGTATGAAGTAGCATCATTGTGGCTTTAATAGGTATTTTGCTGATTCCTGCTGATGATGAGGAGCACCTTTTTTGTGTGCATATTGGCCATTCACACCATTTGCTCAAATTGGGTTTCTGAATTGATAGTGTTATTTGTAATTCTTTTAGGTATGTGGATATGAGTCTTTTGCTAGATTTACATTTTGAATATTTTCTCTTATTTGTCATTTCTTTTTCCTTTTTTTTATCATTAGCTTTTGAAGTTTTTAATTTGAATCAAGTTCTTTTTCTCTTTTATGGTCTGTGCTTTTTTTTTTTAATCGCGGTAACACTGGTTTATAATGTTATATAGGCTACAGGTGTGCATTATTACAATCATATTTAGTGCTTTTATATATTAAGAAAACTTTCTCAACTTCAAGATCACAAAGATATTTTGTATTTTCTTCTGGACTCTCCATATATACTTTCAGCTTTTCTGCTTTGGTCTGTGGCTCATTGTTAATTATTTTTTATGACTGGTGTAAGTAAAGGTCAAGAGTTGTTCCTCCGTGCCCTCTTGCCCTCCATGTGGCTATTCAGATGTTTTAGCACTATTTATTGAAAAAAGACTTCCCTTTCATTATTGAATTACTTTTAGGAATTTGCAGAAGATTAAACCAGTCTTATTTCTGGATTCCTCTTATTCTATCCCATTGATGTGTCTGACAGTCCTTTTGCCATTCCACCTTGTCTTGATTACTGTAGCCTTACAGTAAGTCTTAAATCATGCAGTATAAATTTTGTCTTTTTTTTTTTAATTCCAAGATTGTTTCTACATTAAGTCCAAGATTGTCTCCACTCTTCTGAGTCCTTTGCATTTCCATGTGAATATTAGAATTAGCCTGTGAATTATCTCTATATTATCTCTTGTTTTTTTAGATTCTATACTTGGCATCCTTTCATCACAGAGCCAATTATATTAACTGTACGTCCTTATTTTCTGTATTGTTAATGCTAGGGTGCTTGGGGCCTTATATACCAGAGGAGACACTGCCCCTCATTCTGTGCAGAAGGTAATAACAAGCCAGGCTTATTTGTGTATCATAAGAGAAGGAGGGAAATAACCTAACTGAAATAGGGGTAATATGCCAGGAAATTATAGATTCTCAAAATAAAGAAACAAGAAAGTAGAATAGACTTGCAAGTGAGTGGGGGTCTCATTTATAACTGTTGAGTCAGAACAATTTCCTGTTATAACTTGGGAGAAGTAGTAATGAATTGTCATGGAAAATATATCTCCTGTCTTGAAATTCCATATCTTGTTGAGATCTACATTCTGCCTCCGATTTGTAACAAAACTTTGGAGACTATATCCTTTAAGTGACATTGGAAATGCAGGATAAATTGGAAACAGAAATGGTATCAAGAATGGCGGAGAGAAGTATGATGGCCTCTGGTTTGTTTCAAAGTAAGGTTTAAACATGACTGGCAACCTCGGAATAAACAATATCAATTTCAGATAATTACTGCAAGATAGATACCTCCTCATTGTGTTTTAAAAATTGACATTATATAGAATGACCACAATGACTTTTAAAACAACTTGCTTTTGTTGTTTTAGAATCTTGCATTTCAGATATCTACCAAAAGCACCTGAAATTTCTTCTGTAATGTGTTTATAGGAAATGCCTACAAATGTAACACAGATATAGGTATTTTATCAGTTACCTAAATACTAGAAACAACGTTTTCTCTTTAATGACTTTTAAAAATGTTGAAATTTCTTATAAAATTTCACATAAAAGAGTCTTCTCTTCCATTGGTTTACAAAGTGGTTGCATTCCTGCAAGATTCAGTGTGTAGTAAAGTTGTGCAGAAAACATTTTATCCATAAAATGTAGTAAGAATCTAGGCTTAGATAGTTAATTTTGGTGAGTCATTCGAAAGGAAGTGGACTAAACACTTTTTTTTTTGCACATGTTCTTAACACTTCAGTAGATGTGAAACACCTGCTCCCACCCACTTAATGCCAGTAGTACCTCTCAGCCATAGTGGTGACAAAAATATTTCCAGAAATGTCCACGATATCTCCAGGGAGTAGACCCCATTGAGGCCCCTCTGCCCCAGTCTGCTTTCTTAGCCACTCTTAAAGTTCAGGTGGTCCTCCCCAGCAGTGCAGCCTATCTTTTTCCCTCTTCTTCCCACTTCCACTGAAGCTGTCCAGTCGGTCTCCTGTGCCTGATTCATCTGACGTTAACCAGACTAGCCTCTGAAGTATAGTTTTCATCTAGCCATTCTGTCTCAGAGATCTGTAGTGGCTCTCATTACTTCTCATTCAGCATAGCAGTTTGGATGTGTAATAGGCATCTCAAACTTATTATGTCAAAAACTGGATTCCTAAGTCTGCTCCTCTCAGTCTTTACCTTCTTAGTTAATGGCAATCTCCTATCAGTTGCTCAGGTCAGAAACCTGGGATTCATTTTTATTCTTCTGGGTTTTTTTTGGGGGGGAAGGGGGTGGAGTTGGTTTTGTTTTTTTACTCTGCCACAGCTTTTTTATGAACAGATCTTCTCTTCAAAACATATCTAGAATCCAACTGCTTTTCTCTATTTACATTGCTATATTTGGATCCAAGGGACTGTCACTGTATTATGTAAGTGATCTTTTAACTGTGTTCTCTAGTTCCATTCTTGTTTTCCACTCTCTGCTCCCTACACAGCAGCCAAGTCATTCTTTCTCTTATTCAGAACCTCTAGGGAGTCCTATCAGAAATAAATAATCATAGTAGCCACCAATGCTGTCTGTGATCAGGTCTTCATGCTCCAGTCTACTCTTACTAGCCTTTGCTATTCCCTGAATACACTGAGTACAAACTCCTCACAGGTTTTTTGGTCTTTTTTTTTTTTTTCCCAAAAGATTTATTTATTTATACAAGAGCTGGGGTACAGGCCAGAGGCATGGGAGGGTGAGAGGATTCACCAGAGACAGAGTGGGGAGTGGAACAGGTGGATTCACTGAAATACACTGCTGAGGGGAGCAGCGGGTGAGACAGGAGAGGTCTGCCTCGCCATGTGGGTAGCTCCCTGGCCAGCTGCAGAGGCTGCAGAGAGCTCTACAGCACTGAGCTCATCCCACTGCGCCACCGGGGAGGCCCTCTTTTGGTCTTTTGCTTTGTAAGATATCTGCTCAAAGAACCTCCATCACACAGGCTTTTCCTTCACTGCCTTATAGAAAAATAACAACCTTCTCTCTTATCCCTTCAGCATGTCTCTTGGGATTTCTCCACAGCATTTATTACCACTTAGTAGATGATATGTTTGTTTATGATCTGTCTCTTTCCTTCTCTTTTCACCCTCCTGCAACCTAATTGTCTTTATTTTTATTTGTAACACCAAAAGAGGAGCCTGACATGTACTAATTCTTAGTAAACTTTTGTTAAATGAATGAGTTAGTAGAATAAAGCTGTGAACTCAGGGAAACGCTTCTTTAGTACACTTCTGACCCACTTGCTCAACTGTGATTTTTGTTTTAACCTTCACTCATTGTGTACTGCTTCTCTTCCCACTTGTAATCTCCACCTGACCAAGTTCTACCTATCTGTGTCAGGAAAATAGAAACCACCCTGTGTATTTCAGCAAGAACAGATTTAATAAAGTAAACAAAATGCTTACAGAGCCATTGAAAGTCCCGGGTTAGTAAAGGTCAGAGAGAACTGCTTCTGGCTTTAAAAATCAAAAAGTGCTAGACTCAAAGGACACTGTTTCAAGTGACCTGGGCTCTTGGCAGCATTGGAGCGAATGTTTCCTAGGAGCTTGCTTACAAGCTGCTGCAAACTCGACATTTGCTATATGCCCTTGTATTTATTTGCCTGCTGCTGACAGAGAGGAATAATAGTTTTTCCTTTTTTGCTTTCTAAATCTTGCATAAGTTTCTCTTACGGTTGGTGTCTAAATCAACGCCTTTCAGACGAGGGAAACTAAGAAATGTGGTGGTAGGGCTTTTAGCCCCTGCTTGGAAGCGTAGGCCTAGTATTAATTAATATTGAGTATTAATAGACCTTGTCTTCACAGTCTTCTGCTTTGTATACTCTGCATTTATAGACATCGTTCTATTTGTATTTACTCTTTCAGGCAGTAATAGAAGCAAAGTGTTTGCTTCTACCTAATCTGTTAGAACTATTATTCATGCAAGGGAGGATGTATTCACTCTCTTTTAGAGGAGAGAATAAATACTCTTTTGAGAGCCTGTGTATCAAAGGATGAAGTCATAA